AAAAAAAAGAACTAACTAAAAAAAATTCAATCCACTCGGTCGAAACATGTGAAAATTTTCGCTTTAAAACAGTTATCAAAACAAATGTTATGCCGATTTTACTCGAGGTGAAAAACTGTCTTATGTTAAATCGTTAACAGATAATTTTAATGTTAAAATTGAATTGTGCTGTTAATACCATACAAAGAAACCATTTTAAAATTAGCTTTCACAATGAGTTTGTGCGATTTCAACGTTAACATTAACAATTTGAATTGAAACAAAATCTTTTCGTTAAGTTTATTTTTCAAGTTAACATAACTAAATGACATCTTTACGTTAGATGCGCATCTCTGGAGCTAACAAAACGTGTAAAAACTTTATGAGGAGAAGTCCATAGCTAACAGTAGCTTTATTTTGTTCTGCTAAGTTGCTCGTTTTTAGCTGTAAGAATATGTGCAAGTATATTTCTGTTCTGTATTTAGTAATTGATTCAAAATCAAAACTATTCTTTCATTCTGGCCGCACTGCGAGCATAAGTTTACGCTCCGCAAAAATCTCTGCACAGATATTGAGCATGCCGGCCGGCTTTGTGCGCTCAAAAGCAACGCAAGTGATAAGAAAGCTCCGGTACGTACTTATGTATGTACGAGTATGTGGGACATATTATGAATGAATAAATCTTCTTTCACCTTTGTTGTTGCTTCAAATATCTATAAAGGTATCAGATTGTTAGTTGTATTAAGACATTTCTCGTCTTTCCTTTTTTCCTTTCACAGATTGAAACAAGTTTTAACCGCCCTTTTTACTATGTCCCGAGACTATCTGAATATAAGAAAAAATTGCCTTTAGCCATGGCGAATACGTAACATTTAGCAAATTCAACTAATGGGCTGGGCTGTCAATTCATTTGCAACCTCTAAGGGAAAATAAAGTAGTTAAAATAAAATAAAATTAAATGAAATTAAGTAATATATATTATATTATTAATTTAAATTAAAAAAATTTAAAATTATTTAAAAGAAAATGAAAAAATAATATAAAATAAATTAAACTAAAATTATATTAAATTAAAAAAATATAATTAATCTAATTTAAATTAAATTAAACTAAATTAAGTTATATTTAATTAAATTAAATTAAATTAAACAAACCAAAATAAAGTAAAAAAAATTAGTTTATGAAAAATGAATTAAATAAAACAAAAGTTAAATAAATAAATTTAAAAAATACGATTCAATTAACCAAAATAAAAAAATAAATATATTAAAATAAAATTGAATTGAAGTCGTGTATTTAAATTTAGTTTAATTAAATAAAACAAGATTAAAAATTAATATCAAATAAAACAAATAAAATAAAACGAAATAAGTTAATATAAATTAAAATTAAAAAATAAAATAATATAAAATAAAACAAAATAAAATAAATTGGTGTAAACTAAAACAAATAAAAAAATATATGTATACACATCAAATTAAAATAAAATTAAGATACAACAAAAATAGGAAAATGAAATATAGTATCATAAAATAAAAAAAAGGAAATTTAATTTAATTAAATTAAATGAAACAAAATGAATATTAGTAAATAAAGAAAATAAAATAAATTCTATTCATTGCAGCAAAATTAAAATTGAAAAACAAAGGAAATAACGAAATAAAATAATAAATTTAATTAAATTAAATTAAACAATACAAAACAAAATAAATTAAACGAAACAAATGGAATAATTAAAAAAGTAAATTTAATAAATTAAATTCTATTCAATTAAGCAAAATAAATGAACAGAGGAAATAATTAAATAATATAATATATTAAATTAAATAAAAAATTAAATTAAATCAAGAATATATATAATTAAAACAAAATTAAAAGCATTAAATAAAAAATTAAGTAAAGTGAAATAAAAAACAAATAAGGAGATAAAATAAGAAAAAAATAAATAAATTGGTTTAAAGTAAAATAAATTTAAAAAATTTATATTTGAGCCAAATAACAATAAAATAAAGTTGAAAAAGAGAAGATAATGAAATTTACTATATTTATATATGAAATAAATTGTAGTAAAACAAAATAATGTAAATAAAATAAAATAAAAGAGAAAAATTAAACAAATGGTATAAAATACAATAATAAATTAAAATTTAATGAAATTATCGGAAACAAACAATAATCATACATAATTTACTGTTGACATCATCATAAATATTTGTGCACAAATTTTGTTTAAAACAAAATATTTCTTTTGTTTTTAGTAAAGACGAATGTACATACATATCTTAGACAAACTTGCAGAAGCAAACAATAAAGCACTGAAATGACTTTATTATTATTATTATCTATTACTAAAGCTCATAATAGTTGGTTTTGTAATCGGTACTTACCTACTAAAATCATTTATAATTCGTAGATTCTAATTATAGTGCTGAAAAAAATATTATACCGATACTCGAGACTTTACCAATTGGACGGTTATGTGATTTTCAAGTCCTCTTTTTAAGATCAAAACAAATTTTGTTAGCAAGCTTTTCAAATTTTATTTTATTTAAAATTTAGTCAAAAGTATTTATCTTAAATATTAAATTTTTTATTCGATACTTATTCTTCACTTATCAATTGTTATGCAGACATTCTCTTTATTAACTAACAAACATAAACATTTTATTCGAAATTCCCCAAAAATGAGCGCTCAGTTTGAAATAAACTATATTTTCGAATTCTTCAGAACGCCATTTTATGTGTTGGAATATCAATTTTTAACTGGCTACATTTACTAATGCCAATTCTTTCACCTAAAGACGATATACCTGTATTATGTAAATGATAAAATAAATAAAAATATTCAGGCTTCCGTATAAAAATCTATTATTAAAAGCTTAGAACAATGCGACACGCAATACGCACTGCATTTACCCCCACAATCAAGGCCAATTAATATAAAAAAGGTGCACAGCACGTACGCGCATTGACTTTTGTGCACGCACTTACAAAGACATTGGGACTCTACATATGTACATACATACAAATATGTATGTATATATATATTCTTGCAAAGGTGTCAATTGAATAACAATATGCATACATACAAATGGTTATGCAATGATGCTATACGGAAACAAACAAAAAAACCTTTCATTCATGATTCCATTTATTTTCGTTCACTCCACACTTTTCATAATTTGCAGCAATCAAATTCGTGACGCGTTGCTATATCTGCACCTCCCATCGAACTCACCATTTACATACGTGTACATGTATGAATGTATGTACATGTAAATAAGAGCATATAAACATCACATGTGTATTGGTGTTAATGTAGTGAAGTCCGTTTACTGAAGGTTTCCTAATGGAAAAACCTATGCCATGAGCTTTTCGAGAAGGTAAACTTTTTTTCATTAGCTTGCTAGTGGCATATGTATGTATATATGTCTAGAAATATAAATGTAAATATTTCTGGTTACTATATACATACATACATATATGTATACATGTAAATATGAGCAATTTGTCCATTTGTCCATTCCATTTTTGGCCATCAACCATCTATGGGTCACTCCAGTGTGCAACATTCAAATGTAAACAAAATTTATTTCCATTTAAAAATATGTATTTACATATATATGTACATATACTACACGTAGAAAAGGATATGAATGTGATTGCAACATATATTTTCGTATTTTGTTTTGATATTATTTTTCATAGCAATCGCAAAGCTACATAGTACATATGTACATATATATAGAGTATTTGTGAAACGTGTAACACAAAAAGAACGTACGCATTCAGAAATAAGTAAATGTGTATGATTGTATATATGTACATAAGTATGTATTAACTGCAGTACGTAGGATATCCTGTTGCAGTGCGCACGAGAATTGTCGCATACATATATGTATACATACATTTGTACATACCATATACTCGTACACCTGTTAGACTACTCAACTGATTTCTATTTACGTACAGAGGTGTTTTGCAGTCCATATCGAAGCTGCACCGGAAGAGAAAATGATAAATTGTTTTAAATTGCATGAATTTCTACATTTAGCTCTTTATAAATAACATTCGCACAATTCCGTATATAGTTGAAATGAGTTGTGTAAATAAATGTAAATATATGTATTAGCTTTAACCAACAACTGCAACACTTGATATTGTTTTCACTTTCTATTGCTCTGCGTTTTGTATGCCACCCGGTGTGGTCGGGTCTGTAATTGAAGCTTTTGTTCTTTATATTCATTTCCTTGCCGTTATCACTTTTGCCTTCATTGATGGTAATCATAAATGCACACAACTTTTGTTTTGTACACAAAAATGGACGAAGTCGCCGCCAGTCTAGTAACATTTGTTGTGTAAGTTTGTATGTGAAAGTTCTTGTCATGAAATCAAGGTGTCATTTGCCCAAGTGTTCCTGCTAAAAATACTCATAATTGTTGCACACTTCATTCGGCTGCAATTATATTGTGGTTGAAAGGTCTTTCATTAAGCTATTTCCTCTCAAAAGTCTAAGAATACATTTGCCCTTATCTTACGAAATTTTAAAATGAAAAATCAACGCAATTGCATTAAGCCCTGTAAAACTACATTTTTTGCTTTTTGTATATTATTGCACTCAGCTCTTTATTATTTTTTTTTGTTTTTAATTACCGGTACTACATACAAGTTCGTTATTTTGATACTGACAGACTCGTTAGGACTAATTTTACTACTATTTATGAGTACAATTTATGTCATTGTAGCTTTTCGTACAATTTTATGTATCATAATTGTTATATAGAAAATGTTTAATTAGATGTCATTACATAAACTTTATTTAAAAATTTTGCATATAAAATAGTACTAGTGACCATTAAACCATAAAGGTATTATGGTATACATTTTTTTTACTTAATAATAAAGTTTGATTTCGTAAACTGTAATATTCGCTGAAATTAATAAAAGATAAATAAAAGTAGGCATAGCAAAAACAATTACCATTACTTATATAATATAATAATGAGGATATAAATATAAAAAATTCAAAAATCTTGAGAGCAAGTTGCAATAAAACATAATAATATTAAATCGGCGAGTATTTTCTTGTTCCATATTACAAATTGTAAATTTTACAACTAATCAAGTTAATAAAATTTTGTACAAGTATTTTTTGTGTAGAGAGTAGATAATGTATTTGCGACAATGAAAGGAAAATAATTAGTTATCATGCATAAATCCATATTATGTAAAATTTGGTATTTCCAATATTGCATGGCAACAATAAAACCATTAAAACATTTCCTCTTTACTACAACAAATGTTATTTTACTATTTTGCTAATCTTTAAAATACTGGTTAATATCAATAATCTAATGCTGCTTACGCTATTTGAGCGTATACAGCTTGTTTTGAGCTTAAACTAAGAAAATGTACTTTCGAATACAATTGTTTTTTTAGTAGAACTCTTTTTTACTACATTCTTATTTTTCTACATTTCCACTTTAATCTTCGGAAGTTGGTTTGGATGCATTTGAATTATCATCAGCTTTATCGTCAATTTCACTACCAGCCTTACTTTTTGTACATTTCGGTGGAGTACTGCGCGAGCTTAGCATATATGCACGAATACGTGCCTTATGTTCGTGCTCATTTTGACGCATACGTGCTTCATGCTCCTCACGCATTTGACATAATTTTAATTCCTCATTTTTACGATAGTAACTGAGCTTAAGCTCTTGATGCATTGTTTCGAAATTCAATCTTTGCTCATGTTCGATGCGTGCATGTTCAATCTCCGCTAGATGTGAACGTTTTATCAAGTCGAAAATTTGTTTTTTGTATTTCTCATCCGTTGGAAGAATTTTGTAGATGATGTCATCTGCATTTTGTAATGCTCTGGAAGTTTGTGCATCACTTTCGTTGTTAAGTAGCGCCTCAGCATCGTTTTGGGTTGGCTATTTAAATATTTATTTAGAAATTTTCTTATTCTTAAAGTTCTTATAAAAAATTCAATTACTCACAATAACATTTTTCTGCTTTTTCGGTTTACTGCCACCATCGACTTTATTATCATTGTCGGTATTTTCTATTTTTTTCTTCTGTATTTGCTTTTTCCTTTGACGCACGGGCGTATTTTGTTGCGGCTGTTGATTGACCGTAACTTCTGGCTGTGATTCAGCTGATTGTGGTGGGGACGGTAAAGCAAGAGTTGATACTTGCAATGTATCATCACTTGTGTTTGTCGATATCGGCAATGCAGCAAGTGGCGCATCTTCATCATCTATCGTTAAAAGCTCTTTTTTGATAACTACACCATTGCTTCGTCCATGAGCTCTTGTTGTGCTTGCATCTTTCTGCATCTCCTCCATGAATTCCACCATGGACATGCCTTCCAATGTGCCAGCACTTGGATTCTTTGTCTGATATTCCCGTTTGGCTGTATTTTTCATACTTCGCCATTGTACTTGAATTTGTTCCAGTGAACGGTGACGAAAATTGAGTGCGTTGAACCTATAATTTTATTCGAAAAGTTATGTAATTGTATAATACATAATGTCAATTTGTAACACATTACTGTTTAGTAATTTGCATCCATGCTAAACGTTTAGCTTTAATGCTCTTGGCATCAACATTGCGGTTTTCTACATATTCGACCTTAGGTTTGATGACTTCTACTAATAGGCACTGCAGAAAGAATAACAAATATTATATACATGTGTATGGACATACATATTGTTCATTGCCATTTTCCACTTACTCGTTCAGCCTCTTCCCAATTCGTTGAACGTTTTTTTCTTGTGCCTTTTTTCTTGCCGGCACCGACTGCATCTTTATCCACTTCATCGTCACCTACATCTCCTTTGGCATGTTTTTGCTGTTCTTGGGACGATTGCGAAGGTTGTTGGTGTGCTTCTTCTTCCGCCTCCTCTGAGCTTATTGGTATTTCTTGTTCAGTCGCTGGCGGCACCTTCACTGCGAGCGACACCAGATTCCCGTTTATCGCTTCTAGCTTCATTTTGCCACGACTTCTCTTCTTCCGCTGCTGCTCCAGGTTTTCTTCAATCTTTTCTAATTATTTTGGCACAAATTTAAGAAACCCTTTTTTGCTTTTTCACACAAAATTTTCTTATTAGATGTTTTGTTTATACTGATAAATTGGGAGAGAGTTCGACAATTATCCAATAAGATATATATGCGGCAAAAAAAAAATAAATTTGGCAGTACTATTTTAGTTATGCTCCAGTTAGGCGAGAACGTAAAACCGTATGTTAATTTACGTTGAATCTTACGCATTTCCTGACAGAATCAAATATATCAGTAATAAGTTGATCTCCAATCAATTTTTATAATACAATCCCTGTGAATTCGAATTTCGATTCCATAAACTAAATTTGAAAAATTCCCGTGGGAGTGATTTTATGAACTCTCAAATATTTTTTTCATACTTTTAAACATCGGCAAATGCCATCTCTTTGACAATTCAAAAACAGCTGTCATTAAAATTTTGATTTCATATTAAACGATGGCTGAATTTTTCGAGGTCTCTTTAAATCGTTTAAAAATATGTACGTTCCAATAAATAACTAGTTCACAGATGATTGAATTATATTTTACAAATATCAGAAAATTGTTAGGAAAAACCACAGTGGGCAAAAATGATCAAATTAAAATTCGCTGACATAAGTTTATGTGGATGTGAAATTCGGAGCATGAATTATGTGATTTTGTTCTGAATCCACGGGAAGTTTTCTGAATGTGAAAGATGGCATAGAAAAGTTTGCAAATGAATGGGTATAGTGTTGTTGTCTAACTTGTTATCCGTATGTTACTTAACATACGTGCATTTTTTTTCTCTGGGATGATTGGTTGCTTTACAAACGCCCTATGTTCAATCATCCATGATTGACAGATTCGTCAAGAGGGTATTCGGTTTACTTGAAAATCATAAGTTTATTTTTATATTTGTACAAAAATTTTACACTTCATTCCATTTCCATTACTTCAACAATTGTGTATCGTTGACTTCCATTTACTATAAATTTACATAAGTTTCCCAATTAGAAAATAAAGAAGATACGAAGTACCCACGTCCAGTAACGACTTTTTTCTACCTTATTTCCTACAATATGTACATCACTAGCTGTCAAAATCCATCGTATTTGCAGTCAGTGAAAGAAGTGGGTTTCCTTAAAACCAATTTAAGAACTTTTATTTATTTTATCAATTTTTTAGGATTAAAATGGCATTTGGCGATTATCCAGCTGAGTATAACCCAAAGGTTCACGGACCATACGATCCAGCACGTTACTATGGCAAAGGTTTGTAAAAAAATAACATAAAATATAGACATTGCGAATTACGTAATGATGAATAGCATTAAAAAGTATAATCTTTTACATTTATAAATATAATATTAATCATATGCAATTTCATTACAGCTGATGTGCCTCTAGGTCAAGTCAAAGTTGGAGAAATTGGTGCTTGGCTGAGTCGTCGCAATAAGTCACCACAAGCTATTGCTGGCGCCTTCAGTCGCGCTTGGTGGCGTTGGCAGCACAAATATGTGCAGCCAAAACGTTCTGGTGTGGCACCATTCTTCCAGGTTACAGTTGCTGCCATGACTTTCTTCTATGCTATCAACTACGGTAAAATGAGACACCACAGAAATTACAAATATCATTAAACTTTGTTGATGTATAATAAGCGGTATTGCATAGTGCTCTAGTGTGGAGTTACAACAAAATAAATATAAAAAAACTCGAGGTTGGCGTTAAATAATTTCGTCAAATTAAAACTACTGCATTGAATGATTTATGATATGGTTATTGAAATAAACTAATTCCTAATCAGAAACCGTACATGCAGGTTTTCATGTTCTTTAAATGCACCTCCATATGGAAGAATTTTCAAAGAGAGAAAGTTATTTCAATATAAAAAAAATAACTACCTTAAATTGAACTTACTCCTTGTCAAAATTAAATAGTCTTGTTGCAGAACCAGAAATTGAACTTGTGGGAAACAGTATTACTACATTTCAGGACAGTACTAAATTAGCTTGTTTTTAAGTTTTAAATAATGCGACAATTGATGAAATACTCTAATAATCTTTATATGTATATCTTACCCAGTTGACTGAACTATTCGGTCTTTCTGGTATTTTCAATCCAAACTCGGACCACTTCCGATAGCTCTATATGTTAAATATCAACCGAAGTTCGATTGTTAACTATCGGGGTTCATTCAAAATCAACAAAATTTTTTTCGAAAAAGAATGCTCACTGATTTTTAATGCTAATTGTTTCCCCTTGGTTTCCAGCAAGGAAATTAATATATGTTCGAATGTCAATGGTTAACCCTTAAAACCATTTCAGCTACTTTAAATCAATCTCCCATATTCTCTTAACACGAAATCATTTGGTGATCTTTGGTAATAGATAGAAGGAGTATGGTCTCAACATAAATGCCACGACAAACTTATCTTATTAGGCGTAGATTCCATGCATTAATGCCCTATGTAGTTCCTTTTTTGGAGCCCCATGTACTAGTGTCACGACTGAAGAAGTTGTCTTTATGCCACTTGGTTTAGCCGTTCAAAAGTACAATGTTATGTTTGTAAACAACGTCTGTTGAGATCCTATCGAGGGGGGTCAGAAAGGACGTCATCTTTGAATAAACATTAATTAAAAAAGGCACAATTTCCTTTTGAATTCGATTTCCTTATCATCAACTCCTCTAACACTTGTCAAAACCAGTGGAATGCATTTTAAACAGCCTAAATTTAAAAGTGGAAACCTAATACGAATGACAAAGAAATTGAGTGATGAAATCGATTGCGCCGCTGTAACTGCATACCGATAAGCTTCCCTACACCCCATGTTATTTACTACTCCCTATTTTTGCCATCAGATGAAAATGAGGAGCTACTCCCGCCACTATTGCATATTGAAACAGTCATTTAGATGCCTTTCTAGTTTATTCAATAATCGAGTAAATTTCTTTAATTTTTGACACCCTTTTGTTGTTCCTTTGCACATGCGACATCTGCTGTCTTTCAATTAAAAGCGACGTCTGGCGGGTAGTTTTTGCTTTCTACTTCACTTTCGTTTTGTAGCCATTCGTTAATTGGCCGCTGAAATAAATAGAATTGGGTGAATTTATGCGGAAAGCGTTTGCGGCAATCGGAGAATAAATTTTCTTCACCAATTACTGAACTAAGTGTATTTTTCTAAATAATCAGTGTATAAAAAATTCAAACAAATTAATCATAGTTGGCTTTAATAAATGTTACAGTAAATTTGAATAGTGCATAGTTATTTTCATTTTTCAACGTCAAATAAATAACAGTCGGCGTTCCCAATTGCAATACAAGTGAGTTGTGCTTTGCATACCAATGAAAATAATAAAAAAATAACTAAATTTTTAAGTATTGTAATACATATGTACACATCTGCGCCTTTGTGTTTGTTGAAATGACGCTGTTGTTGACGCTGACTAATAGCGCAAGAACAGAGTAGCAGCAGAAATTTTTTTGTCTAGCAAAAAAAAAACAAGGAAGAGAGACGGGTTATACTATAAAAACTAACCACCACTGGGAAGAGAATTTGTAATACCTATACATATCAACTAAAAATATAAAACTTTTATAAAAATCAAAGCATAATAAGATAGTTTTCATCTAAGCACTTTAAAAAAAACATACTTCATATTCTTAATTATTTACTTATCTAAAAAGCTGTACCATTGACAAATATTTATGGAAGAATTTCCATTTCTAAAGCTGCGGCAACACAGTCGACATCCCATAAAGAATGTCAGTGGGAGAGAATGTCAGCGAAAACAACAAGCGTGGTTTGCTGCTGCTAAGCGATAGAAAAATTGTTTACATTTGTATTGCCTTTTTCCCCAGTGGTGGTGTTTTTGTGCTCATGGGTATAACATGGACTTTTCGCGTAGTGTAGATAAATTGCGTATTTTGTGTATTTTTCTCACCACATATATTTAATTGTATACGTATATATCTATATATTTGCATTGAAAAGTTGCTTCAACATACTTTCCACCTTCACTATGTGGCTAGCAACATGTTTGAAAGTTGCTGTCACCTTGTTGATGCCATGCTTGATTGCAACGCGACGACCTTTCACTGCTTTGTGCTGTGTTTTCTTGTTTCTTTTTCTGGAATGCATGCAAAAAATATTCAATTTTGCTATAGTTTTACCTATTTAATAAAAATCTTAATAATTATGATAAACTTTTCAGTATGTTGGATATTGAAATTTGTTCGATTCACTTAATAAAATTGGCCTCATTTTGAATGAAGCAAGTACGCAACGACTTGCAATTATTTATAGTACAGTGCAGTGAAAATTTTGAAAAATTTGGCACCATTCTACTTGCAAGCGTAAAGAAAGCGAATATAATATAAATTTATGAACAAAAGCAGAAAATTATATATACATATGTACATATCTCATACTGACACACGTAAAATGTGCAATTATTGTTGAAATACGCAAATTTTGTGAACAAGGTATGCTCACATTTTTAGAAAAATATTTATTTTGCTGCTTATCGCGTTTATATATGTACATATGTAAGTGTATAAATTTATATACATAAGTACGTGCATTTAGTATATTTTTATGCTGCATGGCGATCTTAAGTGCACACTTTCATACTTACATTCATGTACATATGTACATATATGTATGTAGGTAAATATTCGCACGTACACTTGCTTTGTTCAAGGTATTGCTGGCTATACAAATGTAGAGCAATATTTGGTTGTGGTGTTGGCAGAACTAGAGGCCTACTTAAATGCTAAAATTAAAAACACTTGGAATGTTATCAGACAAATTATTTATGTACATATATATGTAGGTACATAGACTAAATAGCGTGAACTTATAAGAATGATTTTATAAACTTATAAGAATGATGTTAACATGTTTTATATTCCACAATTAGTGTTTTAGTAAAAAATAAAGAAATAGATTAAACTGTATAGCTATGCATAATTTCAACAATAAAAATTTAGTTTGGAATTTTGGTTCATTCCATTCAGCTTGAACCCGTTAATTCAAAGAGTGAAATGTTGATACATTTTTCACTTCGTTTGTTCAATATATATTTATTCGTGATACAATATATAATGTAACTATGTATATATGTATGTACATATATGTATATTGTATATTTTGCTATAGCTTCACACTCAAAACACATTAAATTTCATTTCATAACTCAAGTGCAATTCGCTGAAGACCTTGTAGCTCTCATTTTTGCCGGCTGTGTTATCGCTTCTTGCTGCCGGCATTAAATTTTACCACATGTGTGTATATAATTTTACTTGTTAGTTTGTGTTCTTCATTCTACATTGTCAATTGGCAATTATTCATTATTGTATTTATTCAACTCTATGCTGTCTACAAACTTCGTAGCCGTTAGCAAGTCTTTCATCGTACACATGAGGGTACGTGGTATGATTGGAATAAAGCGGGAGTACCTACCTACATATATACATTAATGAAGTTATATTTTTGTGAAATACTTCTACACAGAATATTATTAGAGATTTTAATCAAAAATGCATACATACAACGTATATATGTAGATAATAATGGTTGTTTGTAGGTTGAAATAATGGGTGGAGGAGTAAAAGTAACTGAAATCTGTTGATAAATATTTTCTAATTAGAAGCAAATTGAAAGAGACTAGGCAAACGTTTTTGTTTTTTTTTAAGTAATTTTTATTATTTTGTTTGTATGTACATATATATATATATATATATATGTATATATATATTGGGTTGCTCCAGAAGAAACCGGCGACTTTTAATTTTTATGTTGTTGTTGTTGTTGTTGTTGTTGTTGTTGTAGCGGTTCGCTAACCCCGTTTAGGTACATGTTTCACTAATCAAAGTCGCCGAGGTCATCTAATAGGAGGTCCAAAAACGAACTGTTTCGACGAGATTGGACCAAAGGGAGGGGTGGGTTAGATGAGTCGGTGAAGATGAGGTTAGTGTCGTGCGGAGACTCTCATACAGTATCCAGACTTGAGTTGTGCCAAGGTCACTCGTGTCTCTGGAGGCAGCTCGAGCTCGTTGTCTGCTATGGGTGGTGCTTTTACTCTGAGCACGTCATTCACTGGAAGGAAGTCTTTAAAGGTGTTGACTCCTGGTGAATGGCGTTCAGTGCCTGTATGTACGCTGTCCTGTCCAGCGCTTGTTGTACATGTTGCTGGATGGTGTTTTTTAAATCGAATACTCCCTTACTGACAGCCCTCTCAAGACAACCGGTTATACGTACCGTAGTTGACCCGGATTTTATCCGGCCAAGGGTTGTCATCCTTTCGGCGACTTAACCCCGTTTATGTCAACAGATAACACTAATTTTAGTTTTTATAACGCACTTTAACCAATTATATATTCTCCATTTTGTTGGATTACCTTTCGCCATCTTCCCGGGAACATCATTATCCGACGTTCATAGATCGTCTTGCCTTTATCTGCAAAAAAGCGAGACAAGTGAGATTTTATAGTAGTCTGACGGTGCATGGTCAGGGCTATATGGTAAATGTATCAACAGTTCTCAGCCAAGCTTTTGTCAGTTTTTGGTGAATGACCAAAAGGTGTGTGCGTTCTAGCGTTGGCCTGGTGGAATATGTCTGCTTTACGATTGGCCAATTCTTGTTGAATATCAGCCATTGTAAAGTTTTGTGGTGTTTCATAATGCTTGGACCGTGATCGTTTTCGATTGACGTTATTGTAGGCAAACAATCTCTCCGATCTCACGCTTAGTTGCATGATGATCCGATTCGATTAAAGCCTTAATATCGTCATCATCAACTTCACTAGGCCGACCTGAACGTGGCTTATCTTTGAGTGAAAAATCTCCTGAACGGAATTTGACTAACCATCATCATTTTAATATTATTAAGTAAACTACGAGCCTTTGTTGTTTGTATGAATTGAATATTTGTTATACAACAAAGAAAAAATGGTAGAAGTGACAGCTGTTTCGGAGATCACCACATCTCCTCATCAGAATTCTTATGGCAGGGATCGAACCAACGGATCGACATCAGCCATATAATCTGTTGTTGTATTATTCAATTCATTATTAACCAACAACTATTAAGTGCGCTAATTTAGCCGCTATTTTCTTAACAGCTTGGTTAGTGTATTGTGTTGGAATCCTCTATACTTTCAGGCGTTAATTTATTTTCACCATTTATTAAACTTTAACTTGATTAAACTCTTCCTCTTAAACTTTCGTTTCTGCATTACTAATTTACAAATATGTTACGACATTAGTTATTCGACATTAGTTATTCGACATTTTATTCTTTCTACGTTGTTCCACATTAGTTTGCGTTTGCGCACGATAACCTCCACCAAAGCCACAAAAAACGCATCGATTGCTTAAGTTTTGTAATTCACTTTCATTCATTAATGCTATGTGGCGTGAACAGTCTTCATTATTTACAATTGTGCATGAGAAATATTATAGTACATACATATGTACATAAACGCATACAAATACCTACCTACCGATTACTTTATTAATCGTAAACAACCCACAGCCTTTGAGTTACCTCCCAGCACAAGACAAGTGCGGACTTCTGTTTTTAAATACACATTTTTAGAATTGATTACACCTACATATGTACATATGAACGTTGAATACTTCGAATGTCTGTCTTTCAATGTGAATGCTTCCTAGCAATTAGAACCTATCTATACGTATTAAACACATATACATACATATTTACATACTTCTATGTATGTGTATTCAATATAAAAAATGTGTGGCCTCAAAACAAGCTCACAAGTTGGAGAAGCTTGTTTACATTTGTTAGAGCAAATATTTGTTTAATGTTTAACTTTAGCATATTTTTCCCTTTGCCGTAAGTTTCCTGTAACAATTCGTTAAAAGCAATTGGCATTCAGTATGTAAATTAAACTTTCTTAGTATATATATATATATATATACTGTATATTTGTAATAACCGATAACTAAAACTAGTTACCCTTTGCTTATTACAGTTGATTGACCTCTTCTGCAAAGTGTATACATCACCAACACAATGAGTGATTATCAAATAGAGACGCGTCGACGTTCACGTTCGAAAACCCCGTTTCTACGTTCTAATTGTGACCACGAGAACTGCGAGCACGCCGGCAAGGAGGGACACATACATCATCATCAGCATCAGAAAAAGAAGGCGCCCAATGTGCAGTAAGTAGCTCGGCTAAAAAAAAAACGTAGTTAGAATTTAAAATATAAAACCAATCTCTGCATTTGTGTATTTTTAAGTTATCAGTGGCGCTGTGTCAACCTGATTTCGATTTTATTTTGTCCATTTCATTCATTTTTTTTCATCAACAAAACATAGAAGAAGTCAAACAACAAGTTAAAATCAACTACAATATAATGAACCTAAAACGCTAAAAATAAATAAATAAAAAAACAAAATACAGACAACAAAAAAAAAAAATAAAAAAAAAAACTTAAGCCACAACAAAAAATGACGCTAACGTGCTATGCGTGATTGCCGTTGTGGTTGTGCATGTCGTCATCGGCCAGCTATTTAGTCAACGGATCAGCCCGTTGGGTAGGAGACAGCGCGGCAGGCATGTTTCATTTTACTGAGCGCAATGCTCCACACTCACATACCCCACATTACTATGACTGTTCTAGCTATAGACAGCCTATGGTGCTCATACTCGTATATTTAAATATTATAAGCAGCTGGCGGCTGACTAAAAGCTCTAGCTGGCAGCGGCGTCGAGCAGCATTGGTTTTCTGTAACGTTCGCTAAATTGGAGTTTCGAATTGTTGCGCGCTCAGATTGTGCACGGGCGTTGTGGTGACTGAACGTGTGCGTGAACTGTTTGTTTTCTATGTCGATTTTTGTGGCATTCTGTCACGACAACTTTACTCGCTATTCGTTGCTTTTGTCAGTTTGTTATTAAACGCACGCCGCATAAGCTTGAAAATCGTACGTTCGCGTTTTTGGCGCGCTTTTCAACCCACTTTATTGTATTGCGTATATACAGTAACAGAATAATTGAAAGAAAATAGCAAAAAAAAAAAGAAAAGTGAGTTAATAACAACACGCGATCAACTGCCAGTGGCCGTTGAATTTCAAACGCAACTCGTCATCATCACACTGACTAAGAGGGCAGTTTGCTATTGGGAAAGTGTGTAGCTCATACGTGCGAACAGATACATACGTGTACATACATACTTGTATATATAATGGTGCACGTTGTGCTTGGATTTCGTTCAAAACCCGTTGACCATCATTTTTTGCTTTTTGAAGTTTATTTTACGTTTGTTTCGTAGTTTATTCTCATTTTCATTTTAAACGATGACGACACTACTAGATTTTTTTTTTTTATTTTTTTTTTGTCGTTATTACTTGGTTGGTCGCAATTAGGCACTAAGGCCTAAACACACCAAAAACTTCCTTTTGTGTTTGTTTATTTTGTTTTTATTAAGCTTATTGAAGGTCATAGACGAATGTAATAATAAATATTTAGATTTAACTCATGGGTTTTTTACGCATTACCTTTTTGTGTGTTCTAATATGTGCATATCAATTGAGTGAATAAATTATGTTTCGAGCATTTAGTGTATTCAGTTCTTTTTTTTTTTGATTATCACTTTTGATAAGCTTTAAGGTAAAAAGAGGTTGTTTACACTTTATTCTAATGGAGCACATGAATAAAAGAAAAAATCAAAAATTCCATATTCAATTCATTAAGCATATTATAAAAAAAATTATAATTTGAAAAAAAAAGGAAATATTATTTGAAATTTATTAATATAAAAAAAGTTCCTAGAATATATAATTTTCGTTTCAAAAATAGAAAAATGTGTGTAAAAAGAGCTGTATTTTTTAATTTTATATTTTTATTCTCTTTTATTTTGTTTTATTTTATTCTGTTTAATTTTTTTAAATTCCATTAATTATTTAATCTATTTTTATTTTCTTTTTATTATTTTATTTTGCATTTTTATATAATTCAATTTAATTTTTGCATTTTGATTTTGTTATATTATCTGTTTTATTTTTTATTCATACTATTCGATATTTTTTTCATTTTATTTTATTTTTCATTCTATTTTATTATTATTATTATATTTTATTTCCTTTTTATTTTATAGTATTTTACTATTTTAAATTATTTCGGCTTACGTTTATTATTAATTTTAGTATTTTAATTATTGTTCTAATTTGTTTTTTTTTTTAATTTTTATATTATTTTGTTTTGTTTTATTTTATGATATTCTAATTTAAAAACTTTAATTTTGTTTTATTTCACCGTTTTATTCTATTTTATTTTTAGTTTTTTTATATATTAATTTTTTTTTATTTTATAAAGTTTTTTCTGATTGGTTTTAATTTCTTTTTTATTATTTGTTTTACTTTATTTTTTTCTTTGACTTGTTTTTAATTATTTATCTATTTTACAATCATTTATTTTATTTTATTTTCTTTTTATTTTTAATTTTTATTATATTTTGTTCTTTTTTTATTTTAATTTTATTTATTTAATTTTCAATCATTATATTTTACTTTAATAAATTTTTTACTTCAATTAGTTTTATTATATTTTTATTTTATTTTAATTTAATTTTGTTATTTTATTTTTAATTTTTATTGTAATTTTATTTGGTTTATTTTGCTTTCTATTCCATTCATTCATAAATTGTAGTATTAGTATTCCGAAATATTTCTTTTTATTTAAACTATACTATGTGTATGTGCTGTTATCTGCATTTCTTTACTATTTTGTTCTGTATCTTTGTAGAACTATTTTGGAGGAAACCGTTGAGGTGAAGTCTTCTTCTACTATATCACCAGAGAAACAAACACAAAAAACAAAAACATCAGATTACTCCAGCGAAGACACAAGTCCAGAAAGTAAAACCAAAAAAAGTATAACCAATATCATCGAAGAGTCATCGAAAAACTCCAAACAAATGTCGTCGTCCTCCACGAATAGGACCACCACCACAACAACCAGCACAACGGTTGTTACGAAAAGTAAACGCTTAGCTGGCGGCAGCAGCAGCGTTGGTGGCGCAGCGACTTCAACGCCAAAGGCCATACAGAATTATTTGCAAGAAAGTTTCGCATCACAATTCACTGGTGGCGGTGGCCCAGAGGCAGCGGCACAGCGCTTTAAAGAAATCACACAGAATGTGCTCAATGCAGAATTTGAGCGTTCACAACAATCGTCTAAGGCCGCTGCCGGTGCTGCTGGTAGCAATAATAGCAGCATTAATAAATCATACAGCCAAATTTTGAGTAATTCAAATGGCGACCTTAGCGATCACATTGCATATCTGGAATATAAACGCGCTGGCGAATACTGGAAGTGAGTGAAGTTCATATGCAACATATAATTTTCAAAGAATATTGATTTTAATTCTAATATAAATATATTACCAATTGCAGCACCACACCAAAAACGGATTATACCTACTCGGAGCATTCGCCATATCGGCGCGAATTGGCACCCGGCATTGTTGCCATGCCGAACATGTCACGTACTGGTCTGAAAAATCACAATGATCGCATCAACTACATGATTCAACGTGACCCCGCCCAGGAGGAGTACATACGTCGTCGTTATGAAGCGTCGCGATATGCGCAAAATCGTAGAGCCACCGAGAAACTTGCCTATGATTCGGGTGATGAAATAGATTTCCAACTTGATAGCTACCGTAAACGACAGAATAATAAATATTTACAAGAACAGCAGGAATCGTGGTATATGCGTATCATCACAACCATTCTCACCACAATAACCAATGCGTGGGCGACTATAAGTGGTGAAGGTGGTGATATTGGTACAGGTGGTGGTGTGGCTGCTGGCTATAACAGTTCGTTGTATAGAACAAACTACGGTCAGGAGAAACGAGGTAAGTTCATTTAGAACAAATTAAGAGCATATTTAGAACGACTGAGGAAAAATATAAAGACATGTGAATAGACCAGACGTTAATTTCTTTATAATTTCCAGGTTTCTTCGGCTCCATTGTGCACGGCATTTCATCTTCAATAACTCGGTTATTTCGTTATATTTATTTACTAATCTCATATGTGCTCTGTCTGGATACTTGGCTGCTGCAATCGCGTAGTGCCGATAACAATGGCAAAAAGCGTGGTTTGCTCCTAATACTGATTTTAGCGCCTTTGTTGCTGTTAGGGGGTGAGTATTAGATACTACAATATTAACACTTACATACATAGGTGGAAGTTGTAATATGTCAATGTACTTTGTTAAAAAAAAAAAATAGGTGTGTAGGTTGTAATAGGCAACTGTACAATGTAACACTAAGTTTTCATAGCCCCTGACATTGAATATATAATTCAATTTTGTTTTTTGTTTTGAATAATTTGTGAGACTAGTTAACCTTGGAGCGTTTTGAACGCTGTCAATAAACCGCTAGCGGCAGTGAATTTGAAAATTGTTATTGAATTGTTGATGCTATTTTGGCTGAGCGTTTAATTTTTTGCTATTTTTGCGTACATACCCAGATTATATTGGAATTCTATACACACAGTCGAATGTACATACACATGTATGTATGTATTATTTGCTGTTCACCATGACGCCATGTGTTTGACTGTTGTGCGCGCGTCACGTGTGGAAAATTTCATAAACATAGACATAGAGCGCGCCATAAGAGCAGAATCGTTTAGCTATTTGATTTTGAGAGCATTAATGGGCATATATGTGTGTGCTTGATACATATGTATGAGTGCATATAAATTTTTATGTCCGATGTACATTTGTTTTTGGGCGATCGTATAAAAATATAATAAAATTCGCACTTTATTAAGTGAATAATTCAAAAATGTGTGAAAGTAATAATGATGTTAACATCATACAAATTTTTTTTTATTTCCTTGAATTTAAAAATACTTTTTTGAATTAAAAAAGTTTTACATATTACGGTTCATTGTTGAAATGTTGCTTATATGTAAGGAAACATACTAAATTTTATGATGTAACTACATAAACTCCCATATAGGGTTTTCCAATAAGAACTGTTATTTCGATATTCTAGAAAACTTTTCTCTTAAAAGATCGATCTTCAGGGAATTTTAATATTTTCAAAGCGTTAAAACGTGTATCGTTCTATTTATATTAGTGACGTAGTTTTTACTTGTCAAATGTCAGAAAATTACGGCTTAAAAAATGACATCTAATGGAATAGCAGCTTATTCAAAATAACACCCTTACTATTGGCCGCAGACAAAAGTTTGTGGGACTCTTATGTTAATTTCGAGAGTAGAAATTCAAAAAGCACACGAATTGGTATTTATGAAGTTTTAGATTTTTTTTTTTTTTAATATTAAAGTTTAATAAAGCATCTGTATATTTTTTTTTAATATGAAAAGAACTGTACTGGCATATTACAATCTCCAATATGTGTATATTGTTATTTAAAATTGTCATGCACTAATATTGTATTTTTTCTTCAATTTCTTTTGCACCTTTTTTTCCATGAAACTAAATAAAACCTTGAATGAACAAAATATTTATAATAATAAAAAATCTGCGCTCTACCCACAGCCATCTACTATAGACTACATCCCAAAGAAACCTTTCCGCCAAGTCATTTTTCCGAAATGACTTTCACATTACCCAAACTACCTGATTTCTCGCAAATTAATATGTCCGAATATTTCAACGAAGATAAATATGTTGCTATTAAAGAGCACACATTGAATCGGTTTGAGGACTTTCGCGCTTGGTCCGATGATTACATTATGTATTTACGTACGGTATCTAATAATATTCTCGATGAGGGTCGTAAGTTTTTTCAACGTGAAGAATATTATGAACGTGTTTAGAAATACCGATATCGAGAAATATATTTATCAAATTTTCTTTGAACTTCTCCAGCAATTAACTCAATGAACAAGAAATTTAGAAACTAAAATAATAAGACGTCATGGGAAAGTAAGAAAAAAGTCCATTGAAGATTTTACTTTGCTAATCAAAAAAATTCAAATTTACAGCAGATAATTGCTTAGTAAATTATTCTTTTTTATACACAGTTTTTGTGAAAAAGAATTAATAGTATTTACTATTAAATAAAAATAAAACACAATAAATATAAATAAAGTAAAACTAGTTATTAAATTTAATATAATTTATCACGTGTAGTTTCGGTATTATTTTTGTTTATACATACATACTTTGTTATATTTGTTTATTTATTCATGCTATTTATTTTTTACTTTCCATTTATTAATTAAATTATTTTTTTTTGTACCTTTTATTTTTCATATAATTTTTGTTTTTCGTTTTGTACTTGCTTTAAATTAAATTAAAAAAATAAAAATAAAAATAAAACTAAAAAAATTCTGCCTAAGAACAAATGTACAAAATTCATATAAATAATTTAAATATTCAAAATTGAATTCCTAAACATTTTCGTTCAGAAAGTAGTTGAAAAGTAGTTACTTACAAACAACATTTAACGTACAAATATCGTTGCATTTCGGACATCATCGGCGCGATCCTATACCAAACGATGAAGCCCTAAGTAATACAAAACCAAATCCTATATTCCTATACCTATTCCTTTACATCTCCATAAATACATTAAATACATTCGTCGTCACCAACATATTGCTGCATGCATTTGTATTAGTGAAACATCTGCTTGCTGTTGTTGAAGCTGTTTGAGGCCAATCGGAGAAGGATAGAGAGAGAGCTGCAATTATTAATTTAAAATTGAATATCATCTACCCAAAACACACACACATTTACATATATTTACTACATTTAGTAGTTTCGATTTAACTAAGAATAAAAAAATATGTTCAAAACAATATAGCAATGTCACGCCAATAGTAGTCTATTACATACATAAAAACAAGTTTGCGTTGAGTAAAATTAAATATTAATTTCCAATAGTCGTTTAACAGTTTTTAAAACTTAATTTTTTGCTGTTAAATATTTATATTTAAAGCACCTAAATTTCGCGTTTACATCAAACTCTGTTAAATCCACAATATACGCGATTTATTTTGATATAACTAATTAAAAAAAAAAATTATAAAACTTTGTTTTAAACAATAAAAATATTGAAATTTGTTAATAAAAATAAATCTAATATAATAGCAACAACAAAATTGCAAACGCGTTTTATTTAATGCAGTTCGCTAGCGCAACAGCTTTAATTTCTCCCCCCATTTAGGTGAGTATACCTTCTCCATTACCCTTCTTCGGGTATAAATAAATATTAAGGAAAATTGGTAAAAAATTGTACTACTCTATCCTTCTTCATTTGGATCAAATTCAGTAAGTTTTTCGATTTTTTTTCGTATTTACTTTTCCACATTTTCGCAAATAATGACAAAATTTTTTAGAATAAAATTTTTATTGCTTCACATTGATTTTGTTACGCTACATTTCCTTAATGTTAAACATGAATGCTTTTAAATTTGGTAATTGAGAGATTTTCGACCCTTAAATGAGGAAGGATATGAGTATAATAATATATGTATATATTTTATTTTTTTTTATTAATTATTTACTTATTCATAATAAAATTGCTTAAGCAGGAAATATTTAATAAAAAATTACCATAATTTTATTAGTAGATTTAAATACTCGATTGTTTCTCAAGCTGAGGCTGATATAACCACCTTTGAAGACATACTCGTATATACGTTCGTTGAGTGCTGTCATTTATTGATGAGGACGAAGGCCAAGTCATATCTGTTTTATAAATTTTCCTTCTTTCGATGGATTGCATTGACGGCGCATCTGCCAGGGAATTTGAAAATGCAAAACAATTCCGTATGACTCGAAATATAATATAAAATTATAGTACAGATGTGAACACCTTTCGATGGATAAACCCATTACTAAATCAATAATTTTGTGATTGGTGAAAGACCTGCCAGCAGTGCTTAAACTCTACCTACTCCATCCAGGACATAATTGTTTTTTTTTTTGTATAGTCAGACAGGTAGCGACTATGGATTTACTTTCCATATCCAACTCTTACAAGGTTCGAAGAGCAATTTTGTGCTTGTAAAACAATTAAGCAGCAGGATTCGGTTCCTATGCACATTTTGAACGAATAAAAAAGCGTGATAGAATATTAGATTTTAAGAGTGCTTTAGCTTTGACAGCAGGGTTGTGTCTATGTAGCAGTAGGATCTCCTTAGCGCTTGATTTTAAACAAGATTTTAGAGGATAAGAAAAAATATATTTCAACAATTGGTCCTATGCTGAATATTGCCATCGTCATCGTCAGTGAAAATGGCGATACGGTCACATTAGTGTGCCATAATTGTCAACAGTATCGTCAGACGAATTGTCAAGGAGTGTGATACGATTTGGATTTGTTGACCATGAAAACAATAAATTATTGGATGAGTGCATAAGTTCGTGCCCGATTTCAAGTGCAAACTAAAATTAATATTTTGTGAAGAAAGCGCTTTTATTAATCAATTATGTATTCGCCATCATGTTCGGCAATCCACTCCCAACGTTCAATCAATTTACGGATGCCTGATTCATAGAAATCGCGCGGTTTCTCGTTGAAAAAGGTGTCAAGGTGGTTTTTGACGTCTTCCACATTTTTAAATTTTTTTCCATTCAAATTGTTCTGCAGCGATCGAAACAAATGATAATCAGAAGGTGCAATGTCGGGTGAATATGGGGGATGCGGCATGATTTCCCAATTCATCTCCTTCAGTTTGGCCAGGGTCGGTTTTGCAACATGTGGCCTGGCGTTGTCATGATGGAAAAGAACTCCTTTGCGATTGGCCAAAATCGGACGTTTTTCATCAATTGCTTTCTTCAATTCGACCAATTGCTGACAATACTTGTTGGCAGTGATCGTTTCTCCAGCTGGCAAGAGCTCAAAATAGATCACGCCTCGGATATCCCACCAAATGCACAGCAGTACCTTCATCGGATGCAATCCACCTTTCGACATCGGTTCCGCCCCTTCGTGTGCCTGTTTCCATGTTCTTTTGCGTTGAACATTGTTGTACAGGATCCATTTTTCATCACCAGTCACGAGCCGATCCAAAAAAGGTTCGTTTTTGATCCGTCGAAGCAAAGAAATTGCTGTTGACATACGGTCCACTTTGTTTTTTTCACTCAACTGATGTGGCACCCATGTATCGAGCTTCAAAGTGTACCCAACCTTTTTTAAACGACGAAACGCAGTTGATTTGTTGACGTTCAATTCACTGGCAACCTCTTCCGTCGAAATACGTGAGTTATTCGCAACTAAAGTCCTTAGAACATCGTCATCAAGCTCAGAAGGCCGTCCACTGCGAGGTTGATCTTCGAGGTTAAAATCTCCAGAACGAAATTTCGCGAACCATTTCTTTACTGTGCGGAGTGCTGGAGCACGGTCCAAATAAACTTCGCGAATATCTTTAGTTGCAGCGCCTACTGTTTTTCCTTTGCGGAATTCGTATAACATAATATGACGCATATGATCTTTTTCGTTGTCCATCTTCCATGCGTCTTTTCACTAAGCAACTCAAATCAAAATGAAGTTATTTTATGCTTCATGTACAGTTCGGACTGTCACCTTTCCAACGATATACAATATGTATATATTTCTTTCACGAGCGCCACTCGCAAACGATTCGAACGGCATCCAGCGGAATCGGGCACGAACTTATGCACTCATCCAATAAGTTACAAACTGTACCAGGACAACGATCCCAAACATAAATCAATGCTGTGCAGAACGTGGCTACTATATAATTGCAGTAAAGTGATTGACACTCTTGCCCAGAGTCCTGATTTAAACCCCATAGAAAATTTATGGACTTTTTTTTTTTAAAGAAGAGAGTGCGCAAACGGGGCCCAACTAATAAAAACATTGGTCATTTAAAGAACTTTATTCAGTCCATGGCCCGTCGTCTTCAAGCTGTTATAGATCCAAGGGGCCATCATTCCAAATATTAGTACTAACACTGCTATATTTTTTTTCTTTGGATGAACATTTCACGACATTCCGTCTGCATTGCTTGTACAGAATACCAAAACAAAGACGAAGCGATGAAAGAGACGATGCTCACTGACGATCTTCAGCTAAGTCGTAGACGATATTCAGCATAAGGCCGAACATTAATTTGATTTCCATAGTCTTTGGAAGAACATTGAGTTAACAAAACAAGCTATAGTATATGTAGATCTCAGGTGGAATCAGAGAAGATCTTCACTCCGTTAGTTATTTCGGGTGATGAGAAACTTGTCTGTGCTTGAGTGCATTGAGTCGTAAGACTGACATTACCAATAGTAATCTCGACCAGAATTGTCGGTCCGTTATACAGTATAAGTAGTAAGATATATATATAGAGAGAATTTAATGAGAATTCGTTTTTAAGTTAAGTTGGTTAACATAGTGACGGTAGCCTCCTTTGATCTGACAAACGAATCACTATTTGATTATAGGTATGTGTAGCATATTATTAAGCATATGATGTCCTCAAATTGGCTGCTTTTAAAATAACCAATCGCTTATTTCAGCATGGTGGTGGCTACAGGACGATGAAAATCGGTTATATTACGTGGAACGTGCGCAAGCCGTTGTGCCACTCTCATTACTGGCTAGTTGGCAGAGTGCTTTATATGCCACCGGCAGCTCACTCAGAGGCTACTTCCTCCAATTGCCCGATAATGTGAGGAGCTCATTTAATCAATACTACTCTAGTTATATAGCTGCAGGTGACGCTGCTGCAGGCAGTGGAGCTGGTGAAGAGCACATCCATAACATTGAGCAGCGTTTGCAAAAAGCGCTTACTGCCGAAGAGTACGAGAATATCTTAAATCATGTCAATAGTTATGTACAACAACTGATCGATTTGAAGTTGGAAAAGCAACAACATGAGCAGACATCACGTGCTGAACAACTGAGCCCGACGCAGATACATTTGATTGTCCAATTGTTGCGAGAGAACTTGGAACGTTTTGCACTAGAACAGCAAGCTTCGAGGGGCGCTAGTGTGAGGTTGGCTGAGCTGAATGAGTCAGATGTGTTGCGACTGGCTGAGTTAGTGCGTGCACAGCTGGAGACTAGTGGTTGGGCTGAGAGACCAGTGCCGTTGTCTAATGAGAATTTAATAAAAATTAAACGCTTGATAGGTGAACACTTCGAGTTGCATGCTCACGAACACTACACGCTGCGCTTAGAGCAAGTTGATTTGGACGCATTGTTGTTGCGTATTTTAAGTGCACCACAGCTGGCGAAATATGTTGATACGCGCATCGGTGCGGCGTTCGAAAGTAAGCGCGGACAGATACTAGAAACCGAAAAGGCGAGAGAGGGTTCCGGCAACACAGAAACCCATAGCGAGCAACAACGTTTGATTAATGAACTAAATAATGAGATTGCTTTTATCAAATTGGCGCTCTCCGATAGGCTATCTGAGAACGACGGTCTACATCAATCGATAAGCAAATTGAAAGTCACTCAGGACGATTTACTAAAACGCCTGCAGGATCATGAATTGGCTACAGATAAACGTTTCAGTGGCTTATTGTCGGAGATTGAAAGCAAATTGGCGGCGCTCAAAGATGATAATTTTAAATTACTTAATCAACAAATCAAGTTGTCGCTGGTAGAAATACTCGGTTTCAAAGAGCGTACACCAGCTGGAGCTACCTTGGAGGATATCGACTTACAAAATTGGGTGCGTAGCATGTTTGTGGCGAAGGATTATCTGGAAGAGCGTTTATTAGCACTCAACAAAGGAACGGACAATAAGATACGCGATGAGATCGATCGTTCCGGCATGTTGCTAATGAGGGATATTAGTGAGCGACTGAAACATGAAATACTTGTAGCTGTTGAGGCAAAACACAATGAGAGTCTGTTGGCGGTGAAAGGTCAAATCAATTCGGCGCTGTCCGAGAATGAGGTGCAAAAGATTGTAAAATCGGTGTTGGCCATATATGATGCCGATAAAACCGGTCTAGTGGACTTTGCGTTAGAGTCTGCAGGTGGACAAATACTCTCGACACGCTGTACTGAAAATTATCAAACCAAATCAGCACAAATATCCATATTCGGCATACCACTCTGGTATCCGACGAATACGCCACGTATTGCTATTTCACCACAAGTGCAACCCGGTGAATGCTGGGCATTTCAAGGTTTTCCGGGATTTTTGGGTGAGTTCAATTATGCCTGTACTTGCTATTTTTTTTTATTATAAATTGTTCTTTTTGATTGCAGTTTTAAAACTCAACTCATTGGTATATGTAACCGGCTTCACGTTAGAACACATACCTCGATCTCTTTCGCCAAACGGACGTATCGACTCAGCGCCACGAAATTTCACAGTTTGGGTGAGTGTGCTTTGTTAGAAATTTGATTATTTCCAAAAGGATGGTGGAAACGGTAGTTAACAAAACACATTTCATTCGTAACGAACGCCAATATGGTTTTTTAATTTCAAAACTCCTTTAACCCCAAAAAGAAAAAGAAAAAGAAAAAAATCTTGGTTGGCTCTTTGCCCACTATCTACCACTAAACACAGAAATTCTAGACCATAGAGACGAACAAACGATGGATGCAAAGGCGGGTTATGTTAGCTGCCTTCCCAATTATGCGTATCCTCCAGTGCAAATAGTACAGAAACCAAACGACGTTCATAGAAAAATGATAAGTACCAATCTATACAGGCAGTGCTTCGGAGTTCTTGGTTTGTTAACTCCGCTTAGAAGCAGGCAGGATCAGTCTGAGCCATCGAGGTCATCTAACGGGAGTTTCAGGAAACCAGCTGCTTCAAGGGCGGTTAGATGAGTTGGTTTTTGGGAACATGCAAAGAGGTGGTTAGCGTTGTGCAGGAGCTTCTGCATGCGGAACATATGTCGGGTATTTCGGGGTCAAGTCTGGATTGGTAGGCTCTTGCTTGAGCTCTTCGTCTGCAATAGGTGGTGGTTTGACTCAAATAACGCCATTCTCTGGAATAGAGTTCAGGAAGGTGTTGACGGACTCTAGGTGTCTGTTGATATGTCCCACGACAATCAGGAATTGTCGGTTAGGCTGCTCCCAACAGAAATTGCTTGCACATCATAGAATTATGCTCGTTAACTCGTAGTTTAGATGATTTTCTATGTACGTGATGCTCTGCCGACATCACGATGTTTCCTGTCACGGTCCTGAGGGCGGTGTTTTGGCCTGTAGCTCCTTCATCTGCTTCTCGCTAGTACTCGGCGCTCAGACCGGAGCAGCATAGTTGCATATCCGCAGGCCAAAAACTCACTGTATAACTAATCGTTGAATGAGTGCATACTCATAAGTCCTTTAAAACAAACTTTCTTAGTCGTTTGTTGATTAAGTAAAAACGCCTAATTTTAGCTCTCGCATAATTAAATATTGTTCAAATTAATCTCAAACAGGTTATTCAATTAAATTTTTAGATCAAAAACAGGAGAAAAGTTTTTAAAAAAATGTTGCTGCTACACAACCAGATGCGGCGCTAAACATTCCGTGTTTTATTTTCAACTAATATGTTGTTTGTCATTTTATTTCCACCAAGGGTCTCGAGCATGAAAAGGATTACGAGCCGGTACTCTTCGGTGAGTATGAGTACGTCGATAACGATGCCTCCTTGCAATATTTTCCAGTTAAAAATCTGGATATCAGGCGACCGTATGAAATTGTAGAATTGCGCATCGAGTCAAATCACGGACAGGCACAATACACGTGTCTTTATCGCTTCCGCGTACATGGTAAACCACCGGCAGCGTAGATCATCATTACCAATCAACAGGCCATATAAACTAAACATATGAATGTAGTTTATTGTAAAAAATAAGATAGTTTAATTTATTTTCTTATCAGTACTTACAATTGCAAACTAAATTATTGTAAACTTTGTGCCTTAAAGTATGCGGAAACTAATGCTGAGAAGAGAGCAAAGTTGCACAGTTTGGAATTGCAGGCCTTAAGTATCTAACCTCAAACACTTATTAATCCTAACCATACGTTACTAAGAGTCAATATATTTTTAGAGCTCAAAAACACAATTGTAAATATATTAAAAAATAAATAATGCTGCCACAGTGAAGAATATGAAATATTATACATACATAAATATCGCATAAGTCCTACATATGAATAAGGTTTCCTACGTTGATTTAAAACATGAATTTATTCACACAAAAAAGAGGCAAATTAGCGTTAGGTGTAAAATATTAAGTTACAATTTATACCATTTTAAGAATTTTTTTAATTTATTTAATAGTGTTAAGTTATGGTATTCAAAATGTTAAAATATCTATATATATATGTATTTATTTTAAAAAGTGTAATTTAAGGTAAGTTAGCTTACGTGAATGCAGGCAACATACAAACCAAAATCCATATATTTACATTACATAAAGGCAAACAATATAAATAACAGTAATATTTATATTATAATTAACATAATACTTGCCAATATTTATTAATTAAATGTACTTTACTTAAATAACAATTAGTACTTAAGTGCTAATTAGTGGATCTGTTTTTGTTAAGGCTAAATTTAATATCAATTGAAGAATAATACTAATATACACATAAATATATATATCTGCAAAATTAAACCCCTAATGCTACTTTTTCAGGTTAATTACTTCATTTGTTACTTTTGCTTACATTGTACACATTTAAAAGTCATATCAAGTAGTATACACGTATGTACATACATTAAGTAAAAACTAATTTCAATGACAACGAGTAAGCTTTGTGTGTTTAAAAAATAATTTAAGTGTTAGTTTAGTGTTGTGGTTTTTGTTTTTGAGATTCAGTCATTTGCGTCCAAAATTCTATATATATTTAGAGCTACTGTTTGTAGCTACTAATAATAAAACATAACGTCTATGTTTAGTAAGTATACTTGCCTTAAGCCTAAAAACATGTAGATGTTTTCGTACTTTTATAGAATTCAAAACAATAAAGTCTTATGCATCTCTTAGTCTTGCAATCTGCTTATGTTTTCCTATACATACTACATATATGCTTATTTTTTCTTATTAATTGTCAACTTAATACCCATAAGTATTGATTCCAAAAACTATTTTTTTAAATCACTTAGTAAATTCGCAGTTCGCTACAAATTTGAAAATGCTTTCCAATACTATCAAACTGATAAATTTACTCTTAATAAAAATGCGCTTTCGTAGTAAAATTTTTGATTTAACTTAACATCTATATTAAACTTAATATCAATTTAAATATTTATTGCAGCCCGGTAATTAATTATTCCTTTTTGGTATATTTATAGCAAGTTTTGATCTTTTATAAATGTTTATAAATTTCATTTCCCATCATAACCAATTTCAATGCAAAAAGCTCTCAATATCAATATAATTTTGAATATATAAAAATGATTTAAATTATTTTGTCTCCAGTACCTTAATAGAATGTAAGAATTCGCTCTTTATAACGTACATGATATATATGTTTGTATGTTATTATATACAATAAAAATCAGTTTTCATAATTTACCACTCATCAAATTTCAAAACCCAGTTTAAACGGCCAAGTGGTTAACGGTACAAGTTTACTAACAATTTGCAAATCAAATTTTATTAAAATTATAATTAATATTTTGTGCATAATAGTTTTAACCTTTAGTCTAGTGTTTATGTTACTTGGAAATGTTACAAATAAATAAAATACAAAAAATAGTCCAGCTCATGAGTTTTTGAATATTTACTTTAACAGAGGTTAAATGTGATAAAAAGAGGAGTTAAAAAATAAGTCTAAATACAGAATAATTAAAAAATAAATAACAAAATAACTAACAAATAAATAACAATTACAATATAACTTAGAAACATAAAAAATAGTTAAAAAATAAATAACAAAAAAACTGAAAAGTAAATAAAACAAGAAAAAAAATGTAAAAAAGAGACACTGAAATATAAATAATTAACAATAAATTAAAAATAAATTAAATAAGAAAAAATAATAAAATATGAGAAAAAATAAGAAAAAATTATAAAAAATAATAAATTTTATTATATATAATAAAAAATAAATTAAATATGAAAAAATAATAAAAAATTAAATAAGAAAGAACAATAAAAAATTAAATAAGAAAAAATAATAAAAAATAAATTAAATAAGAAAGAATAATAAAAAATAAATTAAATAAGAAAGAATAATAAAAAATAAATTAAATAAGAAAAAATAATAAAAAATAAATTAAATAAGAAAAAATAATAAAAAAATAAATTAAATAAGAAAAAATAATAAAAAAAATAAAATTAGAAACAATAATAAAAAATAAATTAAATAAGAAAAAAATAATACAAATAAATTAAATAAAAATAATAATAAGAAATAAACTAAATAAGAAAAAAATAATACAAATAAATTTAATAAGAAAAAATAATAAAAAATACATTAAAAAAAATAATTAAAAAAGAACACATCATAAAACAGAAAGAAATCATAATAAAACGAAAAAAATCATAAAATAAGAAAAAAATCATGAAAAACCAATAAAAAATAAAAAATAGCAAAAAAATAAAGAAGAAAAAATAGTAGGAAAAAAACACAATAAGGAAATAATAATAAAGAAAAAACAAAAATAAAAAATAATAAAAAAGAAAAAATAATAAAAAAAAGGAAAAATAATAAAAGAGGAAAAAAGAATATAAATAGAAAAAATAATAAAAGAGGAAAAAAGAATATAAATAGAAAAAATAATAAAAAAGTAATAATAAGAAAGAAAAATTATAAGTATGAAAAAATAATACAAAAGAAAGAATGTTTGTTATTTTTAATTTAATGAAAATATAAGAAAATAAATAAAATATAAAAGAAATAAATAAAATAAAAAATAAAGTAAAAAAATTAAATAAAAAAATAAAATCAAATTAAAGAAAATAAAATAATAAAAAGAACATTAAAAAGTAATAACAGAAAAAAAACGTAAAGTAATAATAAAAATATAAATAATTATAAATAAAATTAAAAAAAAAAACCGTAGTTAAAAAATAAAAAAAAATAAAAAAATAACAATTCAAAAAAGAAAAAGTAACAACAAAACAAAACAACAAAACTAAAAATAAGATTAAAAGAAAAACTAAAGTTAAATATAAAAATAAAAAATTAAGAAAAAAATAAAAACGTAAACGGCCAATCGAACGTTAACCTTTTACCTCAAATGCATTGAGACTTGCACACTTCTGTGTGCTGTGGAAACAACGAAAATTTACTATTAAATACGTATGTAGCAAAGAGTGTCGTACATACAATAATTATTTTGTAAATTAAAAGTACTCATTGCATTTACTTGCATACTTTTTAAAGCGCACTCCTACTCTCAACTCTTGAAATCCATTTCATTTGTCCGTCTATCTGTATGTCTGACTGTCAGTTGCACTCGTTGCAAACGGCAAACATTATAGTTAACTGACTTTGTCTGGTTATGTAAAACTTACGGAATTACGAATTTCAGCTGCAGATTAACATGATGAACAGACGAACTGATGAGCAAATCCTCAACGAAGCGCAAAACCAGAAATGCATATGGATGTTCATACATACATACAATGCATACATATATAAGAGTATGAGTTAAATAGAAGACTGTCACGGTTGTAGATTCGTTGTGGAATAAGTTTGCGTCACACTGACTGGCCGCGATTAAATATCAGAGAGAAGAAGGTTAACTAAATGATCATGTGTGTGTGGGTACACACATATATACATATAATATATAGTTGTAACCGCTGAAGAGATTTTTGGCCCAGCACCTCCTCCAATTTACGTCTTTATAATTTCGGTTTTTTATGAGAAGTTTTTATTTCATGTCAGAAACACATTCGGAGGGGTTGATATTCCTTGCCGAGAGCGAAAGCAATTAGCTGCAGAACCAAATAGAGAAGGTACAGTGTTATGTAAATTTACCCTTCCCCAGGTTGGAGAGGGAAGCGAGGAGAACGGGTCGTGTTGGGAATGAGGGCAGGATGGTCCTGTCATGAATTAAAAAGTCTGCGCTCTCGCGTCTTAATCACTTTTGTTAACAGGCGTTACTTTCGACCTATTTCTATCTCGAAGATCAAGCTCTAAAAGCTTGTTGTATGGGATAGAAGCGTGGATGTTGACAATATCCGAATTGTCAGCCTTAAAAGTGTTCGAAAGGTCAAGGTTTTGCCTAAATTTATGCGTGAGTGAAATTAAGTGAATTAAGTGAGTTAAGAGACAACGTCTTTACTGGCTAGATCTTCTCGTTCGAATAGATGGAAACACGCTAGCATTCGATACAAGTAGAAAAAGAGAAAGATGGAGTAGACATAGGAGGGATCAAAAGTAGTAGAAACTGGTTTCACTTGGTGTCTTCGATTCGGACCGAACAGCTAAAAGGAGAGGCGATTGGTGCGCTATTGTTCATTCGGCTAAAGTCGGGTAAGCGTTACCCACACCAAAGAAAAAGAAAGAGTGCAGTTATAAATCTCGCCATTTAACAATATAGTCGCAAATCGAAAGAAGATAAATTACATCCGAAGAATATAGAATGCAGCTCGAACTGGGAACGAATGTTACTCGAAAGGAGTTTCGAAATGAAAAACGAACAAATTTTTTTTTTGAATCTTAGATAAAATACAGCCATTCATTACAACAAAAACACAAGACAACTGGTTTGGAAATAACTTTACTTTACTCACAAGAGCATAAGAAATTTGGTTGTAAACACATTTAAATGTTTACTTCCTTTCATATCCTGTCCGTCGGAAATAGCCATTTTGTATGCTCGTTCTCTATATCTGCACTTTCTTTTACCCGAGTATACTCGTAATCATGCATATGTCTGTAATTTTTGCCACCACACAAAAAGTAGCTGATGCAGTTGCTGACGCTGAAATCTGTGGAAATCACTTAAGCCAACAGCATTAAAAAAGCTGAAAATCAGTCAAACTAAATGATTAAAATATGATTTTGTAAGTGCATATCTGTGAATGTGTGTTCATCTTGCACTCACATGCATATACTCATATGTGTGAATATTAACCCAGTAGCAAATCGACCACAAAACGTGCGGGATGGGATAGATACCGAGAGCTAAAGAGAGAAGAGAGAAGCAAGACGCATTTGCAGAAAAAATGAGAGAAGCCGAAATGTGTGAGTACGTGGAGTTTGAGAAGCTGGCCGTGCAGGGTTACGCTCGAAAATTCTAGGAAAAGATACGGCGACTTATGGAAGGTTTCAAGACTGGCGCAAACTCTTGTAGGACCCAGGGAGGTGATCAAGTGACGCATGCCCAGAGTATACTGAATTTATGGAGAGAACACTTCTCCAGCCTGCTGAATGGCAGTCAAAATGATACACCCGGATATGGTGAATCCGAAATTCCAATTGATGACGATGGAAAAGCTGTACCGTTACCCGATGATGAAGAAGTCCGAATAGCAATAGCCCGCCTAAAGAACAACAAAGTGGCGGGGACCTATGGAGCTATTCAAATAGAGCGGTGAAGAACTGATCAGGTGCATGCATCAGCTTCTTTGCAAAATATGGTAGGATGAAAGCAAGCCTGAACAGAGCACCCTTACTCTGCCCAATCCACAAAAAAGGCGATCCCACAGTCTGCGCCAATTACCATAGAATAAGCTTTTTTAACATCGCATATAAGGATCTATCAATCGTTTTGTGTGAAAGCCTGAAGTTCACCGTCAACAAACTGATTGAACCTTATCAGTGTAGCTTTAGACCCGGTAAGCCAACCATTGATCAGATATTCACCATACGCCAAACCTTGGAAAATACCCGTGAAAAACGAATTGACACATACCACAGGTTTTAAAACAGCTTTCGCCAGCACGAGAAGGAGCTGCCTTTATGACGCTATGTCCGAATTTGGTATCACCGTAAGACGTATACGGCTGTGGAAACTGACCTTGAGTATACCAGAAGCTTCGTCAGAACCGGGAAGGACCTCTCTGAGCCGTTCGATACCAAGCGAGATTTTAGACAGGAAGATTCCTTAGTATGTCTTCTTTATTTTTTTGCTGGGAGAAAATAATACGAACTGCAGTGCTAAATAGAGAAGGCTCAGTCTTCCATAAGAATGTACAGCTGCTGGCGTACACCGATTATATTGATATTATTGCCCTCAGTTCTGTTTTCTCCAGACTGGTTAAGAAAGCAAAGAATATGGGTCTCGCAAGGCGAAATATCTCCTTTCATCACACTAGCAGTCGTCGCATTCGCGACTCGGCTCCCACGTCAGTGTTGACACACAAAACTTGGAAGTTGTAGATAACTTCGTCTATCTAAGAAGCAGTATTAACACCAAAAACGATGTCAGTAGAATCACTCTTGCCACTTTGGACTGAGCAAGCAATTGAAAAGTAAAGTCCTCTCTCGGCAATCGCCCATCATATCCGTCCTACTATATGGCGCAGAATCGTGTACGATATCAATATCTGATTAATCGGCTCTAGTAGTCTTCGATAGAAAAGTTTTCGAACGATTTGTTCATTGGCAACAGCGAATATCGCAGACGATGGAACGATGAGCTGTACGAGATAAATGATGATATAGACATAGTTCATCGAATGAAGAGACAGAGACGCTGGCTAGGAAATGGATCTGGTTGAGAGCGACCTGGCTTCACTTGGTATTTCCGCCAAACAGTGAAAAGAAGGGACGACATATAACATTTGAATGTTGGTCGCACGGGAATTTGAACGCAATGCTAACCACTTGGCTACCGCGGTCGTCAAAAAAAAATATAAATATATATAATATATATTATATTTATAATTATATTCATATTAATTTCTAAAAAATAAATAAAATAAGTTTGCATTTTTATTTTCAATGTATTTTTTATGTTGGCTTATTTTAGTAACAAAAAGGAAAGGTAAGTTTCACACACACACACACACACTTCCAAGGTAGTGTATAATGAAGTAAGCCAGTAAGTAGTAACACATTATCTCTTCGCTTGCAATTTACAACGGAGTGGTAAGTTACGCTTATGAACACTTGGCTTGCAAAAGCTAATGGGGTGGTAAATTGCCTTGGTGACCTCTTCGTTAGAAAATGGCAGTAAAGTGGTAATTAATAAAATTTCAAACACAAGCCCTGCTGGAGATTGCAGAATACTGCAAATGTAACTTACCATGCCATTGCAAAGCCAGTACCATTTGCTACTGGGAAGCAAATATTTTGGCTTTACTCATTCCCATTTGTCCATACATAGTATTGAGGAATTAATTAAATTTTCACATTGTACATAAATGATAATCTTAATATGCGCTTGCATACATACGAGTACATACATTTGCGCATATTTATTGAATGCTCTACAAGGAAAGAATGCAGAAATTGTTGCAGTGCCAAGTCATCAGTCAATAGCCTCAGCGATGCTCCTTCTCGCTCATATTGCTACTGCTGAGGAGGAAATGTGAGGATATATGCAAGTATGAGGAATTAATAAATATGAAATTAAAAATGTTATACGATTTTAAAAATAAAATATTCATATATATTTCATTTTGCTCCGTAAAGCTTTAAGTTGGCTTCGAACGAATGTCCTTGCTTTTGTCAAGTTTTTTTTATTCTTTATCAAGATAAGAATGTTGGCGACTATTTGGCGATTGTTTTGAATAGAAATATGAAAACTTAATTTTAGCACAATAGTATCTTTGATGCTGCTAAATAAATTAAACACCATCCCACGGTTACTACTTATACTTTATTTTAACAGATTAACGAATTCTTCGAACAATTTTCAATCGAAAGTTTCGTGTTAAATTAATTTCTGATATCCCGTGGTGTTATAGCAAGCAAAAAGCACAAATTTACATATAATACTTGCATGCAAGCATATGTTTATATACATATATAGGACTTTATGGGCACTGGGTTTGACAGCCAAAGTTGAAGGTCATTTACATTTCCAAAAAAATATACAATAAAAACTTATTAAATTTATACCTCTTCTTTATATTTATAATTCGAAAATATCCTCTCTTCCTCCTCTTCCTTCGATTTAGTAGTAGTATATCGAAATTCAATGGCCCTGAGTGTAATAACAATCTATATACATACGTATACAGGAGGCTTTGTCCTGAATGACTGACAGATCGTAGAAATCTGGATCTTGGAGGATTTACTCTACATATGCTCTGGATAAGAAAGAATTTTTTACTCTCAACTTTTAATTATGTTTTTATATATATTATGTTTTATGTTATGTTTTATAATATTTATATCAATAGTTATACATACATAAATAATTATTTAGCCTGAAAAACTTATTACGAAACACTTTCATTCGGTCACAAATTATAATAAAAAATAATTACAACAAAAGCTAACTAAAGCTATTCAGTTAATTTGCAATCAACTGTTTAGACTCAAACATTGCTTTTGCTTCCCTCTTCAGCAGCTTGCCATTGGCGTTATGAGGCAACTCGTTAACGAAAATTACACCCGCATGCAGCTGCTTATAGACCACCTCTAGGCGATTTCTTACATGGTCCTTTACTCGTGCCTCCGTCAAATCGGCTCCTTTGCGAAGCACCACTAAAGCACCGGCGGCATCACCATTGCGCTCATCGTACACACCCACTACGCAAACGTCCTCCACTTCAGGCAATTCACTTATAACTTGTTCAATCTCACCCGGCCAGTATTGCATGCCCTGATATTTGATTATATCCTTCTTACGATCCACAATATAGAGAAAATTGTTATCATCAAAGTAACCGAGATCGCCGGTATGGAACCAGCCGAGTGAGTCTCGAAAGCGCTGTGTTTCAATTGGATTGCCGTAATAACCGTTCCACAATCGTCCCGTATTAACATAAACTTCACCAACTTCATTGTGTGGCAAATTTTTGCCATTATCATCGACAATACGCACTTTCATGTTAGGTATCAATTTACCCACGGATGTGGGACACTGATGGCCAAAATTAAATGAAACGGTTCCGATTTCCGTCAAACCATAACCAAAAGAAATCAATCCGTTTTTGAGTATACCTTGTAGAAGCTGAAGTGTTGTCAAACTGATAATACCACCGCCAATAACACAGGAGCGGATCGAGCTCAAATTCTCAGCGGTGGCTTCAGGGCAGGTAACTAGTGTAGCGATGTAACGTGGCGCAGCACCGACGTAATTGATTTTATATTTTTTCACCAGCTCAACGAAGTATTCGGGAGTATATGGACGGTTGGTGATCACCCGCTTACAGCTGATAGTGAATGCTAAAATGGTGAAAATCAAGCCAGTAAACCAATCAATGCAGCTATTGGTGAAGATAACATCTTCACTGGTGATAAATCTAAAAGTGTTTTGAGGATACAATAGTCAAAATTAATCGCACGGCTTATGGGAGCTCGTGTTAATCACTTACATATTTTCTATTTGCAGTGCGTAATTCGATATGCAAACACATTTTGGAATTCCCGTGGTGCCTGATGAGCAAAGTATTGCCACAGTCTGCTCACCGCCTAAGGTCAATTGTTTGGGTCTGTAAAAAGAAGTAAATTTAGCTTGGTTGTATTTGTTTCCACATGCTTTGTGTGTTACTTACTGATAGAGGAATTCGGTTTTGGACGGCAGTAAGAGGTCCTCAATTTTGGCAACACCTTCAATATGATCGGTCAGTGTGTAGTACAAAGGCTTTAAAGCATGTGTAGCTGAATGAACTTTCTCATAGAAATCTCCGTCGCAGAATATTACCTTTGGTGCTGTGGTCTTAAAGATGTGTTCAATCGTATCTGGAGGTGGAAACGGTACAGAAAGATATAAAAACAAACAAAAACAAATTAGTTTCAAAGATTAGTAAGTTTCAGAAACAACTATTTTGTTAAGCTACGCATGACTCAAGAAAAATAGGAATAGTAATTGTAATCCACATGAAGTGCAGTTATGGAATGAAGCATCACAACCACAATGTGAGCTTTTAATACCTTGCGAAGGTTTCAATACGGTCGAGTATGGTCCGAGACACTATAATTGAATGTCGTATTGAAACTTTGGGACCGGTGCAACATACTCTTTTGCTGGGTATGCCCGAAGCTATGAGATCTACTTCAACAGCGACGATGGGAGACCTGCTCGATATCAGGCTAATCAACTGTGATGCATGAAGTAGCTTAAACAGCAAGTCGCCTTAAAGTCCTGAAAATTGGATTTAATCCCTTAACTGAGAGTAACATGAACATAGTGGTCAGGAAAATGAAATATTCTTTCAAACCAACTAAAGAAAGCAAGGCCATCGGCATACCTATAAGTGTCAAATAAAGAAATGCACAGGAGCAGGATTTCTCTGCTGTCACGCCAATAACTAAGGTGACTTCACCTCTGTCTACAAGCTGAGATTGTAGGAATTAGATAAGTAGTCAAATGGGCAACGAATGAAGAAGGCAATAAAAAGGTGGACGAGCCCAAACCAGTCACCATCGACTGAATCAGACCCTTTAGTGCCTTCCAAAGCAGTATGCGATGGAGGTACTTTTTAGGTATTGGTACTCTTCCAACTTAGGGCGTATCCCTAAATTATTGTGGGACGGCGTGGATAGAAACGAGACTAAACTGATAAATATTTGAATTAAGTAAAAGATATTATTCTTATTAGTGAACTGAAGGGCATCTTATTCAGAGATATCATCTCCACAAATTAGGTTAGTGCAGAGCATGCACAAGAAGATAATACGCTGGTGCTCTACCTTCGCGAATGGTGGGCCTTCAGCCGATTGAGACGTCACATCATTCACGAAGATGTTTCCTGTGAAACAACAAGTCGCTTATTCTTTCTCGAACTAGAAAGGGCCAAATGAATTTCGTCGAACAGATCTTATTTAGTAAGAAAACAAGGTTTTTTTTTTGCGAAGATAATAAAAGAATATTAATTTTACAATAATAAAGAAAATAAAGCGTACATACTTTTGTCGAAAACTGGATTCACCGCATGGAAGGGTGTACAATTCATTAAGGAAGCGACAACAACTGCGCTCAAGAAGGTACTATTCTTGGCCACAATGCCGATAATATCATCATGACGTAGTCCCATCTTTTTGAAGTGCTGAGCCAAACGTACAGACCAGGTGAGCATTTCGCCATTGGTAACCTCGCGGCCGGTGGGATCGAAAACCTGCAGAGAGAAATAGCAAATGATTTTCGGCTTTTCTTGGACTCAATGAATTTTTTGCAGAGCTTCTTGCTCTCTTTCTATAAAAAAATGTAAATTTATTTTAAACTTAATATCTATACACAAGTGTTTAAAATTTTTGTCCTGAAAGATGGGTAAATCCACAGCCTAAATTGCTGAGCGTAGAGACTGGAGGTTGTATTGTATTCTGCGTATGAAATGAGCATTCGATAAAAACGGAATTTCCAGCAACCATTGGAAACTTCATGCTTACGAAATCCAGGGGAAAGTTTAGAACATACAATATAAAACATTGGCAACATTGGTTTAAATAGCTGGCGTAAGTTTCGAGTTTTATATCACTGTCGAACATCTCCCGTTTGGTCTATAATTTAACCGTGAATCGTCTTACAAAAAAAGTACACTTGCAAATTATTGAATTTTATAATCAAAATGTGTGCTCTGTTAAGAAAGCTCATCACGCGTTTCTTCTGCGCGCTCTTCGAAGCTCATTTTTGGCTTAATGGGTGCGTAAATAAGCAGAATTGTCGGCTTTGAAGTGAAGATCAGCAAGAAGCATTGCAAGAGCTACCAACGCATCCAGAAAAAGTCACAGTTTGGTGCGGTTTATGGGCTGGTGGCACCATTGGACCGTGTACTTCTTCAAAGATGATGCGAATCGTAACGCTACCGTGAGATGATATCAATCTTTTTTTTTGTCCAGAATGCAAGAGCTTGACTTGCATGACATGTGGTTTCAACAAGACGACACAGCGCGCGTTACAATGGACTTATTGAAAGGAGAGTTCGGTGAACATTTTATTTCACGTTCAGGACCAGTCAATTGGCCGCCTATGTGGTTTTTTTTTAAGAACTCTCCTATAGCTCCTAAAAAATACCCTTTATAAACCTCTGTGTTCTGAATGACTGATGAATCAGCATAAAGCACTGATGGTAGAGTTTTAAAACTTAGAATAAGCCTTCTGTGTATGATGTAGGCAACCAGTGAGAACATTTTTTTGTGAAAAGTTTGTAGAGGAGAAAGATTTATTCAATCAAAAAAACCTTATTTTTAATTTAATTTTCGGGAAGTAGAGATGTACAGTATAATCAAAAAAATCATTTTATCTTGGCTTCGTTGCCAGAAAAGCTAATAGTGGTAAAAATGAAAATGATCTAGTTAGGCCAAAATATACATAAGAAACATCTGTATTATGGGTAATCAACATCTGGTGCGTTGTTGCACATTCTAAATTGTAAAGCTTACAAAAACCAACGTCCAATAACAGATCGTGCGTCAACAATACTGATTTATACGCGGTTCTTTCAGAGCTGTAGTGCATTCATTCTTTCGGATGGCATGACCTAGCCAGCACAGCCGCTCTCTCTTCATTCAGTAAACTATGTTAATGTCATTCTATAATTCGTAACCTCATCGTTCTATCGTCCGCGGTATTCGCCCTTCCCAAAGTACAATCAATCGTTCGCTATACTTTTCTCTCGAAGAGTTTAAAGAGATAAGATAAAGCCGACCACGAGCAGACGATTCATTATTTGAAACTTGAAATTGAAGTAATCACTGTGGGGCAAACAATGGAGATCGCCTTGAAAAATTGGGGCGAAGGACAAAATGAAAATTATATGAGTGAAGTGGTGTTTCATTCTCAAACGGAATGTTGAGACATTTCAATAAATGCAAAATCATTGAAACAAATCTATCCGACTTTTTTTCGTAAAAATTTTAAAACTCAAAATTTCCCGTGTTCCACCTAGAGTATATAATTTACAAATATTAAATATCGGAGCGCGATTTCTTTTTCTTTAAATGTAAAGACATTGTTGCTTACTAATCAAATATATCAATCGAAGTTACAGAAGTTATATTGCCGATCATTCAAAAATTCATTCATTAATCCAACTTTCAGAACAAATACTTAATTTTTTAATAAAAAAGTACTTAAATGAAGTCTAAAGTCTAATTTCTAACATTAATGTAGTGTGATTTTAAATTCAATAAAAAATATCTAATGTGTTTTTGAAGTATTCCAGATAAGATATATTGTAATTGCTTTATGCCAGTATTAAATGTCATTTATGGCGGCCGCAATGATGAAGTGGTTGACAATGCTGGTTATTAGTTTGCGGTTAATATTGGGTTCAAATACCGACCATGTGAACTATTAACATTAAATATTAAAATGTTTTTTTTTTTTCAAAATTCGTTCCCTCATGGCCATGTTAATGACATGAAAGATTAGCTTTTCTATAGGCGGCCATGGTAGCCGAGTGGTTTGCATTGCGTATTGCCATTCGGTAGGCCAGGGTTGAAATCTTGGTACGATCAATATCCAAAAGTTATAGAAAATTAATTTAAATAAATAAGTTAAAGCAGGGAATGTCCCCCCCTCCGAGCATATTTCGGACATGAAATAAAGCTCCTCAAAAAAAAAAAAACCATCTGTCTTTTGGAGGCGGCTTGGTATAAACTGTAGGTTTTTCCGTTTGTTGGCAAAACATCAAGACGCAAACCACAAATTGGAGCAGGAGCTCGGCGGAAACTGACTTCAGCGATTGCAAAACGACAATCATATATCCATATATAATATAATATTAGGAGAAGCTCGGCCCGAAATCATTTCAGCGCAAACTGCGTGCATAGAAAAATATTGGATTTTGAGAATTACCCTTTTGCTGCTACCTGTTGAAATTTAGCCACAGAAGCCTGTAAAGATTTTAATAATCGCTAATAAATATTTTAATGGTGGGATTTTTGAAGTGTGAAATAAAAATTTATTTTAAAAGAAAGAAAAATTGTTTGTTGATCATAAAAGTTTATTGACATCACATTAAGGTGTTCAAAAACTTGAAGATCAGGAGCTGTATATTTTCTGTGTTCGGTTTAATGCAAAAGAATTCCACCAGAAGACCGCCACTTGGTTTTCAGATCTGAAGTGATTTATCATTTCATGACTTTTATTATTTTGATTGGTTAATAATAATTATTTTCCAATTTTTTTTAAACGCTTAAATATTCGTCATTATTATTAGAGTTATTTGCAAAAGAAATCAATGAAACCATGACCGTTAGGTCATAACAACGTTTTAAAATTTGTTTCTTTCAAAATATTCATCGGGACTTTGACTGCGCGTTTTTTAGACACAATTTCTGATAATTGATAGTTAAGTAACCAATGTATTTATCGAAAATAGATGAATGAGAATAAGCACATTATTTTAAAGGATTTTTTATTCCAAAATTGTTGCACCAAACATACACTTTTTGTTCCTTGTTTTAAATCTAATCTCTGATATTCTTTCATAAAGTTTCGGAAAACTTTTGACTAACAGTAAATCGCTTTCTGTTAAAGGCTTTTTAGTTTGTTCACCTAATTAGTGAAAAGTCCAAAGTCCGAATGATTTTATTTAAATTAAATTTTATTATATATAAATAAATTTAAATACAAAATTCACTAGGAAAAACGAAACAACTTTTTGGTATCACATGAGAATAACACATATTTATGTAATATATCAAAGCGAGGCAAGAGGATTCGAGAAAATCGAATTTTATATGTTTGAACGTCATCACGTTATACTTTTGTACCCTCTTTTGATAAGCCTCAAACTGTTAATTCACAAATTTTCAAAACAAAGTATGGTAAGACTAAGAGAGAGATTCACTTCTTTTTACGCTTTTACGGCACCTGAGAAACATGCTTTGGATAATTTTTCAATGTGTTGTATAGAACTTTGCCCAACGAGCAATCGAAATCGTATAACAATGGACGCTTTCCTCCACTCCATACACGCTCGTATTTATCATAACCACACTCAGGGAAATCCATTCTTCTGTCACTTGCCGCCGATACACACTACCGCTATAACGTTGCACTTGTGCACAGTTTTAAAAAATGACAAGATTTTTAACGTCTTTATATAGGAAATATTTTCTCGCTTTTGCTGATAAGCGGGAACTACTTGACAACGATGTGCTTGAGTTCATAAATTTACTATTATGCTACGGCACCATGATATGATAAATTTCCAAACACGTGTGGCTAAAAGCATTGTTGTACGTGTCCCTTCTTTCGTGCAGACCGATGGAACACCTCACATTTTCTGATACGTCATACATTTTCAAGAGAGGGCTCACCTATCCAAACGAAACCAAGCCAAATTTTTAGGCTTTGCTCGGACTTTCTAGTAGCGCTTCTTTATTCATCACATTTTTTGTAACAAATGAATTCAACACATGTTCAATGTTGACAGAACAAGCATGTGGTGTCAACTTGAAGATTTTTCAAGATGGAGATTGAGTTTCAAGATTGACATTGAATTTTTTTTTGCTTAGATTAACACGAAGACTTTTTTTCCCTCCGGGAAGTGCACCCGTTACTGACCCATTCGAAAAAAGTTTATTTATGGTTAGATATACGTGATATTCGGTACAATGGTGGCTTTCTAATTAGATGAGTAGGAAAACTATTCTTCTCTCCGCGAAGTGGACCAAGGGCTGACCTATGAAAAACGCTGACTATTCCTCTCTCCGGGAAGTAGACCAATGTCCATGCTTATATCAAAAATGTTGTATTTTCACAGGTATTGAGCAAAAATATGTATGATAAAAAGATACTCCATGATTAATTTGTCGCTTTGCAAGCTGTGCCCTATAACTGAGTTCCATGCCTCCATATCTGACTTTGTTGCTAAGACTAAGTCCAGACTTTATACTTAAAAGCCAATGCAAACTGCCAGATAAGAGTTTAAGCTGCAGCTTCACAGTGGCAATGTGTCATCTCCAGGTTAGGTGTCTGCCCAAGTGGATACCGAGGTATGTAATTTCGTAGTTCCCTTATATCGAATTTTTGATGAGTGCTCTCAGAGAGTGGGAGTGCCAGTCGAGTAGAAAACCGTCCGGTTGTCTGTTGTGATAGTAGCTTTTCGACGTCGAACCTTCTTTGTATTTGTTTACTGGGATTCTTTGGTGCACAGCGGTGGGGGCACATCGTTGCTGTTATAAGATGGATCTTGCGTATTCGGAGTGTACATACGTCAGGAAAACTGGATATTTGTCGTCCGTCTATCACAACATGATCGATCTGGGTTTGAGTTTTTCGATTAAAGGACAGCCAAGTAGGATGATTAATTTTCCGGTACTGGAATCTGGTACTATAGGTAACCACATTTCGGGCTCTAGCGAAGTTGATATAGTGCGGAAATATGGACAATGACAACATTTGAGTCGGCCTTAGGACAAAAAGATTTTGCGTAAGATTTATGGTCCTTTGCGCATTGGCAACGGCGAATACAGCAGACAATGGAGCAATAAGCTGTACGAGTTATACGGTGACATTGACATAGTTCAGCGAAACAAAAAGCAGCGGCTACGTTGGCTAGGTCAAGTGATCCGGATAGAAGCGAATATTCCAGCTTTGAAAGTTTTCGATGCAGTAGCCACCGGTGGAAGCAGAGGAAAAGAAGGACCTCCACACCGTTGGAAAGACCCGGTGGAGAAGGACCTGGCTGTACTTGGTATTTCCAATTTGCACCAAACAGCAAAAAGAAGAAACGAATGGCGCAGTGTTGTTAAATCGGCTAAAATCGCATAAGCGATGGCTACGCCAGTGGAGTAAGTAAGCATAATTGATCAGTCTAAACCCATTTGGGAAAGTTTGGACGTGGATACATTTTTTTTTCACTCCGGCGTTAAAGCCGCCAAGCACAATTTTTACATCGTGGTAGGCAAAGATCATAAGTACGCTTCATGAGCTTATGAAAGACAACCTTGGCTACATCGTTCTTCGATTTAGCTGTTTAATATGACCGCTGTAGTAAATGTCACAAGTGCCTTAACATTTCCGTTCTTATCTCACTTCTTGGACGATGGTGACGTCAGCCTTAATTCTAGCGAGGACATCAGTTAAGGGAGTGGATAGTCCAGATTCTTGACCTCAAATCGTAATTCTCAATCCGTTTGCAGTGGTCGTGATCAAAAGGGGTATCTCATCGGAGGCGTTATACATTTTTTCATTGCTGTTGGCTTCTATGTGGCCAGTCTTAAACCCCGCTAGATAAGTAAGTTTCATTTTGTTTTTTGCACTTTTGTATGGAGAGCCGCTTACTTCAAGAACGACCTCTTGGAAACAGAAGCTGTAATTAGATTTCAACGAACCCTTAAACCCAATATGGCGGAATGGCTACACTGAAGCTTCTTCTCTGCTAGCCGTGACCAAAGGAAAGGCTCCACACGGGTTGGTAAGAATTGAGTGCGACTGCAATTGCGTACTCAGAAGCTTGACTACACCCCATTATATTCAGGTCTGTGAAATATATTTTAAAAAGTTGCTATTCAATCAATTGATTGGAGAAAAGAAATAAAATTGCTTGCTAAAGTTTCTGAAATTTGAAAATATTTGTTTACAGTTATTTTACATTTAATTTCATTGATTTTAGTTTCTATCTGCATTCAGTCCAAAAACAATACAGTAAATAATAATATCCATTATACCAAGATTACTCACCTTAACCTACTTGCGTATAATTGATTAATTGATCGCTTGTCGCCCATAATAAGCCCATGATGACACACAGAAAAAAAAACTGAAAACTGATTAAAAACAAAACAGCTGAGCGAAATATCAATAACCGTTAATAAAAGTCCATTCCAAAGAACCCAGCAAATGTGAATAATTTTACACGTTGCTTAATCCAGCGAGATAAGGGTATTGGGCTAAAAAGTTTTGTTCTTGTAAAAATTAGAAATCGCAATAATGTTTGGCAAGAACTTACTGTGTTATTTAGATAACTGTTGAATCTGAGACAAACACAATAATAATAAAAAAAAGAAAACTTGTGTTGATAAAGCAAAATGAGAGTTCCGCTAAAATCAATTGAATAATGGTTAATTTATTTTTATTATTAAATAATTAAATACAGTAAATATTGATAAGCAAAAATGCTACGTGTAAATGATGTACGATATGGTAGAAGACTTGCTGGCTCTTCACGGTGAAAAGACTTGTTTAATGGGGCATTTAAGTAGTGCAGACGCGTAAACATACAACGATTTCAATATGATACTGTCAAAATAACAAAGAATATCGTTAATCTAAGACGGAAAGATAATATTTTCCAATTTGAAATTCGATACTCAAGCACGTTTAATGAAATGGACTTTGTTGAACACGAAATGGTTTAGTGTTTAAAAGTATACAGGGTTTTTTTTTGGCAGAACATTCAAATTGGGATTGATAAGATTAAATAGGTATGTCATAACATATTGTATATATTTAATATGAGTCATGATTATATTAAAATCTGCAGAAATTATAGATGCGGGAGTACAACTTGCGTACATTAAACCGTAAAGTGATCAAGATTGCTTAATATACTCGTATATGCAGATGACCGTATGGGGCAAACGGGTATATCAACTTACATATGTCAATGTCGCGTGGCATGCAGTATAACGTAAACGCAAAATTCAATACCGCGTACATCACAAATAAAGTCTTAAGTATTTTCAATATGCGTAGTCCTGAACATTTTATTCGCGATATTGAAAACGAATTTGTTACTCATCAAATATTGTCATTGTCTATGCCTCCGCACTATATGTATATTAGGTGTAGTAAAAAATATGGGCTTACATGACGGTCGGACTCGTAAAAGTCCATGACTATATCGAAATTTTTTGATAATTGGCCTTTTAGGGCGTTTTCGCTCTTATCAAAAAAAAATTTAAACATATAGCGTATTTTCTCTTTACTCTGGGTGTAATGGTGTGGTGGAAGAGAGACTCCGTCGTCGAGTAATGGCATTCACCCCGGTGGATGAGCGTCTCGCCACAATCCGCATCAAAGCGAAATTTTTCAACACATCGTCCACGCTCCGACGGTAGAGAACGATGATTTGGTCAAAGATGCCTTTTATAAGCGCCTAGAGCATACTTACGAGCGCTGTTCCGTAGATGATGTGAAAATCGTGCTCGGCGATTTTAATACCAAGGTGGGCGAAGAAGGTATTTTTGGTACAACTGTTGGAAAATTCAGCCTTCACAACGAAACATCCCCTAATGGGTTGAGGCTGCTCGACTTCGCCGGGGCCCGAAATATGGTTGTCTGCAGTACTAGATTCCAGCACAAAAAAAATACATCATCGTTGTTGACGTGCGTACACTCCGAGGACCCAACATCGTCACGGACCATTTTCTTACTGCAGCGAAGAATCGCTTGCGCCTCTGTGTATCGAAGAACGTCCGCCAACAAAAACAAGGAAAGCTCGACGTTGAAAAGCTGCAATCATAACAGACTCCCAAATGATTTTCTACTCGACTTGCACTCCTACTATCTGAGAACATTTATCAGCAACTCAAATTCGTTAAGGACAGTTTCAAATGAAACTATTGGATTTCGTAAAGGTTGCAAAAGCAGCTGGTAAGATGAGGACTGCCGTGTTACAGTGGAGAGAAAACAGGCAGCCTACCTCGTAACCTTGCGATCGACCACAACACGTGCGGGATGGGATAGATACCGAGTGATAAAGAAGGAAGATGCATCTGCAGAAAAAAAAGAGGCCGAGATGCGTGAGTATGAAGAGCTTGAGAAGCTTGAGAAGCTGGTCGACAAGGGTAATGCTCGAAAATTCTAGGAAAAGATACGGCAACTAACGGAAGATTTCAAGACCAAGCAGACCATTGACCAGATATTCAGACAATTTCTACTGTCATCAAACAAACAGTCATCGTATTCGCGACGTGGCTTACACGTCACTATTGATAGTCATAACTGTGAATTAAATTTATTCCTCCAAATGCGACTTGATTCCCTCTTCAGCTCTCGGTGTCGATAGCTAGGTTGAGAGGTAGGCAGTTTGTTTTCACTCCACTGCAGTTAGAATTTCTTCAA